TACCCAGTGGAATGGAGAGGCGTACTGGGTTGGATCAGAACTTTCTATGTTTGTTCAAGCTTGGCTTGGCTTTGTATTGAGTATTTTGGACTCGATGATTGGGCGGTCAGACGCCAATTACTATTGGAACTTTCAACGTGCTTGCTGTCAGACGTGATGCGGAGAACAGACTTGCAGGAAGCAGGCTGTGATGCTGAAGCCACCGATGATTTTGCTCTGATAACTCCCTTCTCCTGGGACATCCATCAGCTCTGCTGCGCCGCTGCCTCCAGTCAGAGCTGCACTGCACTGATGTATGCGGCGGATGTGGGAGCCACAGAAGAGATGAGGACACTTCTCGACAGTGGTGCATCGGTAAACATTAAAAGTCATTCAGGTAGACTACACTTACAATCTCTCGTAAAGCTGACCTTACGTCGTATCGTATGAGGTCTTCAGACACTGTCGCATTAAGATGGGCTGCTGATGAACATGAGCAGAATGACAATCCTCTCCTCATTGATGAGGCTGAGCAAGATACCAGTTACAGTAGCACTTCCAATAGCATTCTTCCGGCTCTTTCGACAGTGAAGATGATAAGAACCATGCCATTGAGATCGGACTTTTGTTGGAGCTCATCCGACGGTAGTTAATTCCAATCATCAAAAGCCACGCTAATAGCCAGACGCAAAGTGGCATGCTCAACGCAGGGCTTGAAGGTGTTGACAAGGCAAGTTCATATAATAAAGTTGCGATCGGCTTGAGCTTCGAAGCACAAGCTAATTCAATCTTTAGTATTAACGCCGCTTTACTGTGACATACACAACTGGAATCCTTTTAGTAGACTTCGAAGAACTACAGTAGTCATGGTCATTCAAATTTTTCTGTCTCGTCTCGACGCACTAATCCACGAGACCCGGATCGGAGGAAGATGCTGAGACCAAAAGACTGCCCAGCCACGATTCAAGGAACGATGGCTCCGTGATGTACTGCTCATTGCACAAACGACCCTTCTCCTTTGCCTTCCCAATTTTTGCCCTGGGGTCGAAGATATGTCGATCTCCAATCCACATCATAGTTGATGTCGGCTCAACAAACATTATGGACCCATTCACCGACGGTTAATTGTACAATTTGTCAAACATGGCGTTATTTGAAGTTGTGCACTCTGGTGGCTGGGAACCGTTGACGAGGTCGCGGTTATCAGTAGTGGTACGTAGATAGACGAGCCGCAAAGATAAACCTGGCCCGAAGATGTCAAGGTCGACCTAGGATGTATGCGAGGGGATTCAGAGGAACCTAGTCTCAAACGAACTACTTCAGTATCGAACGGACCACTGCATGACACTTTTACATTCACCTGAGACTTATACTCATTGTGGAGTTGATTTGAAATATACTGTCCTAATAGTAAAAGGTTCATTCGTGATCGGGTAAAGTTGGCGCTGAAATTCACACCCAAAGAAGCGGAAATTTCAAGCCCTCGACGTGAGCCAAGTAGTTTTCAATACAGGCCCCGTATTTCCCTGTACTGGAGCGGGTACTTCTCCTGTGCTCTCGGTATTATTGCTACTGTTGTAGTCGCTATTATTGTTGCTATTATCGTTCCTATTGTCGTCGTCCCTCGTCGTTGTCCTCATTAAAGTCGCTCAATACACGGAGAATGTAGCCGCCCAGACACAGTAGAAATCGTCGGAGTCTTCAAATCACACGGTGAATTTCTAGCTGAAAGGACGGTGAATCCACGTCTAGTGATTTTACGGGTGCCAAGATTCCCGGGCGAGTAGACACATCGTCCCTCCACTCATTTAAGCTTTCGGGTAGAGGCCGATTGCGGCAGTTCATCCCTGAGTAGACGCACGCACTACCGACTGTCCACCAAGAGGTAGTCATCAAGCATACCTGGGATTCTCTAACCCAGGGTCAAAAGTGGACTTCAAGTGATAACTGTACAGCCCGGCGCCGCTTAGTAACAACCATTGCTGTCCCGATCTTTCTAGAGGAGCATCCCCCAGTATCTGGGTCCGTTGCGAGATGAGTTGGAACTGGCCCGCATATCTTAATTAACTGTGTTTGCCCCAAGTATTATGCGGTCTTGGAGTTGCCGATGGGCCGGTCAAACTCGTAGGCAGTAAGGCGGCCCGGAGGGCGTGGTCGTGCTGGCCCGCGGGGACGTGGTTTTGACCCATCCCAGCCTAGCTGGCATCTCCCCGTATTCTTCCCAGAGACTCGTTATGCAGCCCCATCTTGACCACCTGCGTTGGTAGACGAGCATGCATTTGGGGAACAGGACAAAATGTCTTGAGTCGCGACTTTCTCGGAGGCAGCGGCAGTGCGTTTGAGCAAATTCATGTTAGCGGAGCTGGGGGAAAGAGTAGAGTATCGATAGATTTCTCTCCGACTTGATCGGCGTCTACGACAATTATGCCCGAGAACCACGAGCACCTGTCTTGCATAGGTTGTCTAGTTTCAGACTTACCCATGCCTGTGGCGGAAATGGAGAGGAATGACTTCACAACATAGTATGTACAGCAAAACACCACGAGATCGAGTCGAAAATGAAAGGCAAGTCTGATAAAATATCGTCAAAGACCAACGCATTGGCTTGAAAAAGGTTCCCGACCTAGACCTGGTCTAAATTTCCATCATTGATGAGCCATAGCTTGATAAGGCTCAATGGTCTTGTGCGGAGGTTGGGAGTGAGAGTCAAAAGCTATGGCCAACATGATTGGCAGTACTAGTGCAAACGTCTACGAGTTCCCGAAACTCAGTTATACTCCTGCTCAATCTCGGTGAAGTCAAATCCTAGATAGTCGTAGTCAACTCCCGAACCGGCATATTCAATCATCATACACAGAGCACCACAAAATGCTTGGATCGAGTTGACCCGACGAAGCCGAAGTAACAAACATAAAAGGCGGCAACCAAATCATCTGGCTCTCAGAAGAAGTCATCCAAACCATTCAGTTCATCCCTTCACTGCCCCAAAGCTCAATCTTACAACGCAAGTTTAACTACACCAGCCTCTAGAATTCACAATGCAGTTCAAGATTGCCATTGTTACTCTCTTTGCTGCTATGGCCATGGCCAACCCGGCCATCAGGCAGTCCAATGCCCTAGAGCACCCGAAGCTCGTTGGCCGCCCTAGGGGCGGCGACACCCCCTCCCAACCTAGCTGCTGTTCATACATTCCTGGCGAATGCCAGTCGTCTTGTGTAAGTTGACTGGGTCCATAAGATGAATTGAGATCCAAGCTAATCACTCTCCAAGTGCCCCTCTGGATGCCCCACTGATTAAGCGACGCAAGAATCTTGCACGGCCATGTCAGATGCCTTTGGTGGAAAGATTGGCTGGAGCTTGACTAAGGCATCTAGGTACAAAAGCTTTCCGCAGTTCCGATAACCATACGATCATCAACGCAACTGCATAGAATCCCAGGTAGAAAGCCGATATAATAGATTTGCTCCAAAATGATGAGGCCAAATAAATTGTGATGTAGACCACATCTGAACCAGACCCAGAGACCCATCACCACCATAACCACCATCACCACCAGGCTTGAAAGGCTGTCTCTGCAAGGTTTCCAAATGTAGTTTACTAGACCGCTTCACACCCATCTCAGCATTAGTCGCAAAAAGAGTTTTGAACTTTCGCTGTTGAACCGCCGCAAGCACCCCCTTCGCAGGACTTGGATTCGGTTGAAGCACTTCATACTTCAACTTGTACGAAGCATGGTCGCGAACGAGTATGCGCTCATCGAAGAAGGTTTCGCCAAAGTAGACACGCCGAATAGCACCCTCTCCGTAACCCTCCAACACTGCTGATCGGGTGCAGATGGTCTTCAACCGAATGCTATGAATGATGTCTAATGGGACATACTTGCGACCACCCGGGCCATGCCTATGCGAATTGACTATGATCTCACGGCGTCTCGAGAAATTTGGTTCAACGAAAGATTGGAAACTGGAAAAGGCTACGTTTGGGTTTTTGATCGTCTTCGGGAAGCAAAGCTTTTGCCTGACGGACGACGCAACTGAACTTGTAAAATCCACCGGTTCGTGAGCTTCTGTTCAGATGGCGGGAACGCCTAGAATATTATGTAGAAAGATAGAAAATCGCGTGTTCCAAATATTCGAACTTGGGGTTCACTGACGGTATCCCAACGAAATTTCCCAACCTTCAAGTGGATGATGTTATTTTCCTTTTTACTGGCTGCAGCAAATAGCAAGGGGCGCTCGTAAAAGCCCCACATGGGAATTCGGCTTTCACGGTTTTCGATCGTTCTCTTCCGCTGGACAGACTCCCATGCTCTTCTAATGACTTGAGCTTATCATCCAGGAGAAGTTGATCTAAACCGTAGTGAGATGGGAGCAGTGCAGTTTGATCATCTGTAACTTGCTGACATGCGGGGCCGGACGCTACCGCTACGGAGATCTCGGAGTTAGATACGAACCCCAAGCTGACAGTGGATCCCCGGCATGTGGCTGTCAGGATACCCCAAGCCGATAAGATTGACGTCAGTGAATGCATTTGCCGCTGAGACAGGTGCCCGAACGTGCTGATTCCCTTACAGACCTTACGATAGTTCAATTGCCTTGCCCCCGTATCAACAAGTCTTCTGATTGGCATCATCTGCAGTCGAGCCAAGGTAAAAGACGGCGGACTCTTCTTAGGCCGACAGACGCCTGTCTTCTGGCTTCACGGCGCTTATGAAATCAGGTTGCAATCGATGCCGGAGGTCGCACACATAAATACCAACATTCCATTCTCTTTTCCCCAAATCTCCACAGGCCACACATTCTTTTCTGCGACACGTGTGCGAGAACATATTGTAGCTATGCGTGGTAGTTTTTTCCTGCCCGCTTTTCTGGCTCCCCAGCTCCAGAGGAATAATGAAATCAGTCTTTCCAGGTCTAGCTGCCCACAAGCAGTAAGTGATACTCATATCAGTGCAGTTCATGGAGATAATGACCTTGCAACAGTGTCACCAATTGAGCTTGGAGTTTGGTTCGGCAGTCCACATGGGCGGAAATGACCCCGACTTTTCAGTCTGGGACGCGAAGCAGCAAGAAGTCGTTCCAGCTTGTCGCATAGAGCCCACGTCCGCAAGTGATGTTGCAAGGGCCCTTGAGATTATTGTTGACAACTGGTGTCGGTTCGCCGTCAAGGGAGGCGGCCATTCGACAAATGTTGACGCCTCCAACTCGGTTGGCGGGGTAACGATTGACTTGAACCGAATGGATCATATTGAGTTGGCAGATGACAGATCCTGGGCCAATCTAGGCCCCGGATTGGTTTTGGGAGAGGCGTACGCGGCGTTGGAGCAGCACGGATTGTCAAGCATTGCGGGACGAGTTGCCGATGTTGGTGTGCCTGGCTACACTCTCGGAGGAGGAATTTCGAACCTATCCCCGCAGTATGGGCTGGCAGTGGACAATGTCTACGAGTATCAGGTCAGTTACACAGGCAGGGAATGGACTCGATAATCAGTGTTGATACTAACATCTTCAGGTCGTGCTGCCCAATTCCACGATCGTGAACGCCAGCGAGGCGGTGAACCCAGACTTGTACTTCGCCCTACGGGGAGGCGGCAACAACTTCGGCATTGTCACAAACTTCCGTTCTCGGCTCGTACCGCAAGGGCAGCTGTTGTCGGGAGACAAGACGTTTCATGCAAACTACACGGCGCCATTGCTCGACGAGGTCTTCGATCTCACCACAACGAAATCCAACGACACCTCCATGTGTTTCTCGACTCGATATTTCTGGGACTCTTCGGAGAGTCGTTTCCAAATATCCGTCACTCAAGCATATTACGAGCCGGTCCTCGAGCCCGCCGTGTTTGACAGCCTCAATCAAATACCGTTTGAATCCAGCACCGTGAGGGTGGATTGGATGAGTAATTTTGCGCTGGAGAACGTCGGCCCTCGTGTGCTGAGGTAAGGCATTGTTCAAACCACAGTTTGATAATCATTTCATGAACTGACACGGACTTAGACGATTGTACGCCACCGTCACATTCCGTCCATCTCGAGAGCTGTATGAACAGGTACAAGACATATTTGCGGAAGAGGCCGAGGCTGTTAAGGATACGCCGGGATTTGCGTCTTCAATCGTACTTCAGGCGCTGCACATCAACGCCATCAAGGCGATGAAAGTACGTGGCGGAAACGCATTGGGGATTGAGTCCGACGAACCATTGAATAGTAAGTCCGCTTCCAAAAACATTGAAACATCCCTAACGATGACAGTCGCTCTATTCACTCTCGGCTGGCGAGATCGCGAAGACGACGAGGCAATGAATGCCTACGCTGACAGGTGGCTGACGAGATCCAAGCAGCGGGCATCCGAAATGAATCTTTTGCATCCATGGCTGTACATCAACTACGCGAAGCATGACCAAGATCCGTTTTCTGGGTACGGGGAGGCGAACAAGTTGCGTCTTCAGAGAATCCAGAAGGCCGTTGACCCGCGAGGTATCATGACGTCTCAGGGATTGTGCCGTGGCTCATTCAAACTCAATTAGTCACAATGGCGAAGTGCATGGTGTTACTTTCGTAGTCGACCTCAATTATGCCTCATTTATGGATAGGTAGTGGGCGGCCGTAATGATCGGGAGTAAAGTTTTGTTCTTTGGCAGCTGTAGGCGATTGCGAGCTTCATTATCTAGTTCTTCCGATCACAAAAGGAACTCTTTGAATGTTAGTCCGCTAGAGACCAACAGCCAGCATACGGTTGCAATGGGGACAGTTAACCGGGTGGCCGTGGAAGGAAGGTTTGATGATCCAATGCCCAAGTACTTGATCGAAGCAATTTGCATGGTTGACTTACGATAATCTAGATCGCCTCCGACAGGCATCTTCTCTAACACAGGCTGTGTCCTTGGCACCAAGAGTCTTGTAGAGCATGGAACGAGTAAGAGTGTTGTATTTGTTAATGTTGAGGGTATTATGCTTCTGAAACATATAGTATCCGGGGGACTGATGGCAGTGATAGTGTCAAAGCATATCAAAGGCCTGCGTTCAGTATACCACGCATCCCAACACTGAAAGTTGTACTTCCGAACTCGTCCAAAATCGATTCGATTCTGGGTCCATCGGGATTGAATTCAGCAGGGGACGACAATGGTCTTGTCGGCGGGGATCGAGTCGGGGTTGGGAATGCCGTTGATCTCGGCGAGGTGGGCAGCGGTGGTGCCGAAGTCGGCCGCGATGTCGTTGAGGGTGTCTCCGCTGACGATGTAGTACCAGCCCATACCGGGCTCGGCCTTGTTGTGTCTGCAACCGCGCTTGGCCTCGGACAGACCAGCGAGGGCAGCGACAGCGTAGAGGACGATGGAAGAGGTCTTCATTATGACGATAGTTTGAAAGAGTGAATTAGGTGGGTCGTTGATTAGACTGTGGGCTCAATGATAGAATGGATGGAGATGGGATGAACTACCATGACATAGGCGACGATGGCCTTTAAATACTGTTCGGAGTTCGTGATGGTGTGCCAGGCGGATGACGGGCGCGGCAATGCGGCCATTAATGCGTTACGACTCAAGTGCCTGGCGACACGGAGGCGGTGATAAAGTTTATTTGACAAGCACCCCATCATTTCCTGTTCGATCACAATCACAATATAGTAAATAGGATAGCTCCGACATGCCGAAAGTCCATTTACAAAACGAGCAACTCGCATTCTCGTACTTCAATTAACTCAGACGAGAGTCCAACATGATTATAGGTTTGTCTGTCCCAGTGTGTCTTCAACTCGGCTTCCGCGGCGTGTCGATATGGCCATCGCAAAAGACCGAAGGCAGCATAGCGGAGTCTCGGCATGTCCAGTTACCACTGATAACTTGCTGACGTCTCCTTTGCCCGTCTCATCAAGGCCAACCTCATTTCTGTAACAACTCTTCGTTAAGATTGGGTGGCATAGCCCGGATTAGAACTTCTGCGCCATCTTCGCATCACGCGTTGGTTATTGAAACCTGCGAGGGACTATGAGTTTCACTCCAAGATGAGGTTAGGATGTCGGTATGCCCGTGACTGCTGCACAGCAAAAGCAGCCGGCTTTCATTGAAAAGTGCGACCGTTGGCTCAAGAAACTGAACCGGAGTTGCGCGTGTTCTCTCCAGGACAGCGGTCGACCTCAAGTCTTTGAAGTAGGTTCATCGTTGACCGTTGACCCATCATTCAATTGGGATCAGCCAAAATGCTGCACAAAATCAGTCGCATGTTGCAGATCACAGCTCCTGATTGAGTCAGTGCGTCTCCGCTTGGCATCAGATATAGCCACCTCGTTACATAAATAACTCCGAAGCAAATGATGTCAGGGGTCGAAGCGAGGTCTCTGGAGACGGATCCCGCCAAGGGGCTTCCTTGCCGGTTAGCCGCGGCACGGCGCCAAGGCCAAATTGAGGCTTCCCACTTCGCGCTTGAACGAGCAGAAAGTTGCCCCCTGGCGATATCCACAGCTCATTCATCCTCCGAGGAAAACACAGCCACGCCGACACCGAAAACACGGCGTTTGAGGCCCCGACCACCACCGCGAACGGCCACGGAGGCGATAGACTTTCAGTAAACATGGATCTCCGCCTCGCCCCGTGACCGGAACAACACGATGGAGGCAAACGCAACCGGAACGCCCGATGGCCACGTGCCACAAGAATGTCGTAACGCCGAGTCTCACCGTTTGCCCTCAATGAGGGTCCGGTCCCTCTCAGCACCCCCACCGGTCCCCAGACCATAAGGCTTGTGCAACCCATACGGCCCCCAGAGCCGTACATAATCGAGCCAGTCACATCGCCATAGCGTGCCGAGAAGCCTTGGACCTTCTCTCGGCACCGCAGTGAGATTCGCCAAGATGCAATGACGCGGCTCTTGAGATCCGTCTTGGTGTTCCCCCAACCTGCAGCTTTGGCTCCCTTGGCGATGGAATGACCAGAACATATTACCAAATGGCACCCCCGGCTTCGAGGGAGGGGTCCCGCTCTAAAGCTGTTCTGTCTTTTCTTGTCGTCAATTCTTGCCAGTTTTGACTTTCACCGACACTCCACGGCCGGTTCGAATTTCTCTGGGCAGCCACACGTACGATGACCGACGAGATCACTGCTGCACCACGACAGCAGGACTCCGGCCCAGCTGGGTCAAGCTCGTACAACCACCACTTTTCAAAACAACAAATGGGCGACGACGAGAAAGAGCTTGACCTCCGCGATGATTCCAACATCCAAAACAACAAGTTTGCGTTTACGCCGACGCAGCTGCATAAGCTGATCACCGCCCGAAGCCTATCAGCGCTCCGCGCCTTCGGAGGTCTCCCTGGATTGGCCGCAGGTCTCCGGACAGATCTCGCCGCTGGCCTCAGTGTCGACGAGACCGACCTCGATGGAGCGATATCCTTTCAAGAGGCAGTAGCCGCCGGCGAGGGACATCGATCTGCCGAAATCACTCCCCTACCGACAGCTCCAACACACGAACATGGCTTCAAGATCGATCTGGACATTGGCCAACATGAAGAGAAGGGCTTCACCGACCGCAGACGCATATTTGGCGAGAACCGGCTGCCCAAGCGGAAGCAAAAATCATTCATGAGGTTAGCATGGATCGCGTTCAATGACAAGCTCATGTTCCTCCTCACACTATCGGCCACGATTTCATTAGCCCTCGGTATCTATGAGTCGGTCGATGCAGCGGAGAGCGAGAACAAGATCCAATGGGTCGACGGAGTGACTGTCGTCGTCGCCATCTTTGTCATCGTCTTCGCCAGTGCAGCCACGGACTGGCAGAAGAACCACAGGTTCGCGAAGCTCAACGAGAGAAAGGAGCAACGAGACGTCAAGGTCATTCGATCGGGCAAGACGCAAAACCTATCGGTATACGAGGTGCTGGTGGGGGACATCATGCACATAGAGACTGGTGATGTTGTCGCTGTTGATGGTGTCCTGGTCCAAGGCTCTGGTATTCAGATCGACGAGTCAACGATCTCTGGCGAGTCGGAACTGGTGCACAAGAACGTCCCTAGCGAGAGTGACATTCGCAACAAGAAGGCTCACAGATCATCGGCGACTGACCCATTTATTCTCAGCGGCACGACGGTGTCTGGTGGCGTCGGCGCGTACTTGGTCACCTCGGTTGGCACCAATTCGACCTACGGTAGGACTCTGATGTCGCTGAGAGAGGACGTGGATGAAACTCCGCTGCAGCAGAAGTTGGGTAAGCTCGCCAAGCAGCTCATCACCTTTGGCGCCATCGCCGGCATCATCTTCTTCCTTATCCTCTTCATTCGCTTCCTGGTGGGACTTCGATCGATGTCTGGTAGTTCCTCGGAGAAGGCTGAGACTTTCTTCAAGCTGCTCATCCTTGCCGTCACTGTTGTCGTGATCACCGTCCCGGAAGGTCTTGCTCTTGCGGTGACGCTTGCCCTTGCCTTTGCCACCACCAGAATGCTGAAGGATAAGAACCTGGTCCGCCTGATTCGTTCATGTGAGATTATGGGCAACGCGACATGTATCTGCTCTGACAAGACGGGCACGTTGACCCAGAACAACATGACTGTCGTTGCCGGCCGCATAGGCATCTCTGAGCGCTTCGGTGACATCGTGAAAGTGCCGTCAACCACGACAGAAGAAGCTGATAAGGGTGCTGTGAGCGATTCTGGGGCCAGCGACGACAACCCTCGAGGGCTTCTGGACTCGCTCAGCGACGATGTGAAAACGTTGATGAAGAATAGTGTCTGCCTCAACTCGACTGCGTTCGAGAGCGATGACCCGAAAGATCCCGGCTTCGTCGGCACAAGCACCGAGACGGCCTTGCTTAGATTTGGCCGTGACTTCCTGGCCATGGGCCCTCTCAATGAAGAGCGAGCGAACAACGAGGTCGCCGACATGTTCCCCTTCGATGCCTCGCGGAAGTGGATGGCGGTCATGGCAAAGGTTTCTGAAGGGAAGTACAGGCTGCTCGTCAAGGGCGCGGCTGAGGTGGTCTTCGACCAGTGCTCCTTCATCCTCAAGAACCCCAAGACAGGACTCGGTGTCCAAGTCATCACCGCCGACGCCCGCGAAGACATGCGCTCTACAATCCGAGACTACGCCTCGCAGATGCTGCGGCCCATTGTCGTCGCCTACAAAGACGTGGATGCCGCCGAAGCATTTGAGAACCCCGATGACCCCGACTCAATCAAATTCGAGAAGCACTTCAGTGATATGACGTTCGTTGGAGTGTTTGGCATTCGCGACCCTCTCCGACCGGAAGTCCCCGACTCTGTGCGCCAGTGTCAAGAGGCAGGCGTGTTCGTCCGCATGGTCACCGGCGACAACTTCCTGACGGCGAAAGCCATCGCGAAAGAGTGCGGGATCTACAGTCCGGGAGGTCTGGCTATGGACGGACCGACGTTCCGAAAGCTGACCCCTGCTCAATTGGACTTGGTCATCCCCCGCCTTCAGGTTCTGGCTCGATCTAGCCCGGAAGACAAGCTGCTTTTAGTCACACACCTGAAAGGAATGGGTGAGACTGTCGCCGTCACTGGTGATGGAACCAA